TCAAGCCTGGGAGGTTAAGAAGGAGATCAGAGGGCTGGGGATATAGCTCAGTTGGTAGAATGCTTGCTTGCCTAGCATGCACAAAGCCCTGGGTTCAATCCCCAGCATCACACACACAAAAAAAGGAGATCAGACACTAAAAGGGTGTTCACAGGATCTGGGTCTGAGTTAGGAGTAAGGAGCCTCAGAAAACAAGAACTGGGAAATTGGGAGCTAGGTCTGACTGCAATTCAGGATATTAGATGCTGTATGGATATTGAGGCCATCTAACTCTGGGGCTCAGGAGAATGGTGGTCAGAGAGAGGTGGGTATTTAGAAGTTGGCAGGTTGGAGAACATAAGATTAGGTCTTCATGTTTGTGGTCTAAGGGCAACTTAGAGAAGCTTATGAGATTGGGGTTCTTAGCAGAAAACGAAGAACACAGATGAGACAATGAGGGAGAGGGATTGGGTAGGACTGGAGTCCTGGATTCCTCAAAGAATGGGTATACATAAGGGGGGAGATTATGATACTGGGGATTCATAGATTTGGGGGAGTACCCAGAGGGATGAGATCTGAGGAATTGGGGCCTGGGGAAGAGCTCAGATAGATTGGAGCTGAAGAGAGGGAGTTAGGGCTTGGGATTCCTACAGGAAATGGAAGGTGTAGAGAGATGGGCCTCTTGAAAATTTGGGAACTCTGAATAGTCGAATTAGAGATAGCGAGGTGGAGAGTACTGGATCAGGGCATTGGATCCATGGTGGGGCCTCAGAGCCCCAGAGACCACCAGAGAGGAGAACTCAAGAGCTCAATGAAGAATGGGGTCCCAGAAAGGACACAGGAAGGGCAGCGTGGCACTCTTATTTGTTAAGAGCCACCTCATACCCCCCCCCCCGCCCCTTCTCTGCGCTGTCACCAACTGTTACCCCCCTCTGGCGCTTGTCTCCGGTTGTCACCGACTGTCACTAGGCTGGTACCGCCTGCTGGGAAACATCCCTGCCCCTTCAATGCTACCATTGGCTGAGACAGCTATCTATCTTTCTTCACTCTTGCCAAAGTGGAAGAAAACAATTATTGGCTGAGGAGGAGAATAAATCGCAAGCTTGGCCCGCCTTCCCTCAACTCTCATCCCTTCCTGACCATTTTGGGAGACCTAAAGAATTTCTCAGCTCTTTCTATTGACTGTGGATGCTGTCTGTCACCGCCCAAATAGATGTCACTGTCAATTTGACCGCTTACTCCTCTTTTCATTGGCTCCTTTTTGATCATTCCTATTAGCCAGAACGCTGTCAGGCCCCTCTTCATACCTCACAGCCCTGCCTCCTTCCCCGCCCTTCCGTGGTCGTTCATTCTTCACCCATGTTTATTGGCCAGGAGGTTCAGGTCCCCGCTTTTCTATTGGTTACTTCATTAGTCCCTCCTATTTCCCTTACTCACCCTCTGATTGGTCTTATAGACCTCTGCCTTCTCCGTTTCCTCTTTCCAGGATACCCACCCCCTCCCCGCCTCCAACTCCACCCACTCCTCCATCGATTGGCAGGAACCCAGATCCTTCTCTCCTATTATTCGTCCAAGTCCTCTGAAGAGGCGGGAGAAAAAAGGGGCGCGATGGGCCGACCTGCGCGCAGGCGTGGAAAGCAGAGACGCTAGTTGCTCCGCCGGCTCTGCATCGTGTGCGCAAGCGCGGCGTCGGCAGCTCGCCCCTAGCGGGAGGGAGGGGGCGGCGGCGAGAGCGCGCTAGGGGGTGAGAGGGCACGAGCAAGACCCCGGCGCTGGGCGCCCCCAGACCCCTGCCCCGCCTTCGCTCTCCCGGCTGCTTCCCGCGCGCCGCCCCGCCTCCGGCGCGCGCCGAGCCGCGCCCTTCGCCCTCTCCCCTTTCCCTACGGGCGGCTCCGGCGGCCTGAGGGGCGGCGCCTTCTGCGGCCTCCCCGGCGGGGGGGATGTGAGGGGCGGCCCGCGGCTATGGAGACGGGCCCGGCGCCCCTGGTGGCCCCGCCGCGCCGTCATGGTGCCCCCGCGGCCCCATCGCCACCGCCCCGGAGTTCCCGGGCCGGGCCCGTCGTGGTGGTGGCTTCGGGACCGCCAGTGACTACGGCCACTTCGGCCCCTGTCACCCTGGTGGCCCCCGGGGAGGCGCGGCCCGCTTGGGTCCCGGGGCCGGCCCCGATCTTGGCTCCAGAGGTCGCAGGCAGCACGGTGGGGGTGCTTACTTTGGAGGCCTCACCTGAAGCCCCAAAGACGCAGGTCCCCCCCGACTCAGAGCTCCCCATGCCGGCTGCAGTAGCAGGAGCCGAGACGTCCGTGGTTTTGGCCTCAGGGGCAGACTCTCCGAAGACGGAGGAGGCTCGAACCTCACCAGCTCCAGGACCAGGAACTTCCACTGGGACCCCCACCAGGACCCCTTCCAGAACGGCACCTGGGGCCCTGACCGCCAAACCTCCGCTTGCCCCTAAGCCAGGAACCACAGTGGCCTCAGGAGTGACTGCACGGGGTGCAGCAGGACAGGTGACAAGTGGACATGGAGGTGCAACAGCAACATCAGCATCAGCAGGACAGGCTCCTGAGGACCCCTCAGGGCCTGGTACAGGCCCTCCGGGGACGTGTGAAGCTCCGGTAGCGGTCGTGACAGTGACCCCAGCTCCGGAGCCTGCTGAAAACTCTCAAGATCTGGGCTCCACGTCCAGCCTGGGACCTGGCATCTCTGGGCCTCGAGGGCAGGCCCCGGACACTCTGAGCTACTTGGACTCTGTGAGCCTAATGTCTGGAACCTTGGAGTCCTTGGCAGATGATGTGAGCTCCCTGGGCTCAGATTCGGAGATAAATGGGCTGGCCCTGCGCAAGACGGACAAGTATGGCTTCCTTGGGGGCAGCCAGTACTCGGGCAGCCTGTGAGTACTCAGTGGGCACCCTGTGGGACTACCTGGGGAAACAGGTTGGGGGAGGGGAAATGATACACCTTGGCCTGGCTCTGGCTGCCCAGCCTCCTCTGAGGATCCAGGGGGTGGTTAAAGGGAGCTGTGTCACCTAGAGCATCTTGGGATTTCTGTGACACCGGCATATTCGAGTTTTGGACCCAGGGGTCAGGACAGCTGAGTTTAAGCCTAGACCTTGCTTTGGTGCATTGTGTGTCCTTGAGCTAGTGGTGTCCCGGTTTCTGTGCCTCAGTTTCCTCCTCAGAAGGGTTGAATGAAATGATACCTAAACTCATCCCAGCTCCTTGATTTGAAACTCCAGCTACATACTATATATTATGGAAAGTTACTTGGGCAGTGGTTTTGGTATTGACCTTTGGTCACTTATGGGCAGAGTCTGGAGGGATGCAGGCATTGTCTCCTGCATAGTGAGGTGGGGAAGTCTGGATGGAGGGGAGACCTTAAAGGCAGGGCCCCTCTGGGAAACAGGACAGTCTATCTTGTTTTCACTGAAGGAAAGGGGGTGGGGAAGGCCTCTTCCCCATTTCCTCATCTCCCCAGCCCGCCTTACTCTTTCCTAGTTCCTTCCAGGGGCCTGAGTCACTCCTGAGGTGGGGGTGTGATAGCTTCTGTCTTCTTCCTTCTCTCTCTGTATCCTGTCCCATTATTCCTGTGTCCCCTTAACCTGCTGGTCAGTTCACCTACAGTATTGCCTGAGCACACAGGTGCAAGGCCCTGTGCTGCATATTAAGGATAAAGTAATCCTTTCAAAGAGTTGATCTGGAGGTAGAGATGAAAACTTAAACAGTTGGTTTCAATATAATCAGGTTTAGCCTAGAACTCATCATATGGTTTTGTAAGCACCTGGGGAAGGTGCCTCTTACCTTGTCTGGGAATTCAGCTGAAAATGGTCTGAATCATGAAGAATGAATTGGATTTAGTCATGACTGTGGGTTGGGGGTGGGGGAAGGCTTTTGGGAGGGTATTGCAAACAGGATTTATAAGCTAACAAAAATCAGGAAACTTTTGATTAAGCACCAACATTCTTTGTCCAATGAGGGGAAGGTAACTGAAGTTTGACTTTGGTGCTTTCCAACACATATGGGTTCATGTTTGTACTCAGCTTATAGAGGAAGAAACAAAGCAGTGAGTAAATTCTCTCCCTCAAATAATGTAGATCTGTGTGACCAATGGTTCTTTCCAGGCTGTCCTAAGGAATTTGGGTTGAATTAAATTTTAGAGAGTTCTTTTTGTGTGCTAGGCACTGTGCTAGTTGCTCTTTCTCTGCTTTGTAATTTTGTCTTTCCAAAGTCTCTTCTTTCATGCTAGAGAAATCTTTCTCTTGAGGGGCAAGGCTAGCTGTGGCACACATTATCTTGAAAGCTCTTCATGGCTCCCTGTCATCTACAGGGTAAAATCTAAGCTCTTCAGCCTACACATAGGCCCCTTATTGTCCAGCCACGCTAGCCTCTCTGTTCTGATTTCCCACCACTCCTCCTCAGGCACTTTGTGCTGTGGACCTGCTGAACTTCTTGTCATTTGTTTTCAGGCTGTCCTATCTGCTAGCCTTCATTGCCTGCTCATTTCCATTCAATCATGATTTACTTCAGATGTCCTCTCCTGCAGGAAGCCTTCCCTGATATCCACTGCTCCTACTGCAATTACATGCCTCTTGTGTGCATCTTTGTTATTGCATTTCCATATCTCCCCTTAAGGTGTGATGTTCTTGTGGGAAGAAAGGTATCCTCCTCTTCCCAGCTCTTAGTAGAGTTTGGAACTGACTTATGATAGAGATTAATGAGAGATGTCCCTGTTTAGGAACTTCTGGAACAAAAGAAACTATAATGAGACCCTTTAACAGTATACTTTATATAAATTTTCTCAATAGTCTCCTCATAACTTTGTAGCTGGTAGCATCCCTTTTTATAGCTGAGGAAGAGACTCAGGTTAAACAGGTTATCATTGCCAAGACTCCCCAGCTTCTAAGTTTTGAGCTTAGGCCTGTCTGTTTTCTAAGACTGGAGCTCTTTCTTGTATCTTCTGGTACTGGCTGCTACAAGTAACTGTTTCAAGACAGATGGGCACTTTAGTAAGAAACTCTGACAATGGTGAGCATACAAGGCAATGAGGATTTTATTTGGGAACCTGGGGAGATTTCAGGGAGGTGGTGGTAGAGGAAATTCCAGGTGGTCCAAGGGATCTCAAGAGTCTGAAAGAATGAAATTCAGGCAGTTGCTCCTAAGGAGACAAAGAAGTACATATCTTGTGTTTTTATTTGATAGATAATAATTGCTATTATTTAGATTCTTGCTGTGTGTTATTTCATATAACCTTTCAACAAACTCCTTCAGGTAGATACTGTTATTCTCTCTACCTTATAAATGAGGAAATTGAGGCTTATAAAAATTAAGTGACTTGCCCAAGGTCACACAATGAATAAGTGGTAAAGCTATGCAAAATGTGACTTAAATATTCTATACTTGTTCCTCAAATTTTGATCTGCCAAAAATGGGTAGGCTTTGAACATGACCTCTGTATAGAGATCCTATAGGGAAGCAATCCCTATTAGTATGACTAGGGCCTTGGATGGCCAAATGACCAAACATTCTGATTTTAGTAGCTCACAAGAAGTCCATTTTATCATTTGAGCTTAGTAAGGTGACCGGCTCAATTCTCTCAGTAGCTCAGGTTTTGTACTATTGTTACTGACCCCTTCCATGCTCCCCTACCCCATCCTGCAGAGAGAGCTCCATTCCTGTGGATGTGGCTCGGCAGCGGGAGCTCAAATGGCTGGAGATGTTCAATAACTGGGATAAGTGGCTGTCACGGCGTTTCCAGAAGGTTTGAGAGGGTTGTGTGGTGGGCTGGGTAACATATAAGGGTTGGGGAGGGCATGTGTTCCTTGGAAACTCAGGAAACTGATAATATGTGCCCTCTGGACCACATTGGGGATAGGTAGTACTTGGGCCCTTGGGGTAAGAAGAACTTTAAGTAGAAGGTCAGGCCTTAAGTAGAAGGTCAGGCCAGGTCCAGTGGAGTAAAATCTGACATTTGGAGGACTGTCTCAGGGAGTCTGAGGGACTGCTGGGGAAAGCTCAGAGGCTGTGCCAGCCTCTGAAGCTATCCCCCTGGCTGCCACTGTGCCTTAGGTCAAACTGCGCTGCCGGAAGGGGATCCCCTCCTCCCTCAGAGCCAAGGCCTGGCAATACCTGTCTAATAGCAAGGAACTCCTGGAGCAGAACCCGGGCAAATTTGAGGTGCGTGAAGCTCCAGGGTATGGGGACATGTGGCTATGCAAGGTGTGTCAGCTCCTCCAGATCCTGAGATAATCCCTGCTGTCCCACTACAGGAGCTGGAACGGGCCCCTGGGGACCCCAAGTGGCTGGATGTGATTGAGAAAGACCTGCACCGCCAGTTCCCTTTCCATGAGATGTTTGCTGCTCGAGGGGGGCATGGGTAAGGTGGCCTGACTATGTGGATCAGTCAACAAATGTTTGTTGAAGGATCCAGGTAGATATAAGACTGGATTGAAAGCAGTTCTTGCCCTCCAGGACTTATAGAAAAGTCATCTTTAATGTTTTGGGTGTCAGGTCACGTTAAAGGAAGTCTCTCCTCCAGGAGGGAGACTCAAGTCTGATGTTGTTGTGTATTTGTGTGTGTGTGCACATCAAGGGCACATTGAAGAAGTTGCATTGAGCTTGGTTTTGAAGGATAGATGGGAAATGTGAGGTGGGGGTTTTCTGCTTGGGGGGTTGTGTCAGTTGTGTCTGGGCAGTGGGATTGGGTAGAACTGAGGCTGAAAAAGAAGTTTACAGCCAGATCATCAACAGCCAAGTTCTTAGTATTAGGCCAGAGCACTTGGATTTTTGTTCTGTGGGCTAATCTTCCTCAAGATGATATGTATGCTGCTCCCTAGTAGTATGCAAGAGATTCTCAGATGAACTTTTTTTTATCAATAAGTACATCTTTTTTTTTTTTTTTTTCTCTTTGAGGTTAGAACCCAGGGGTGCTTAACAACTGAGCTGTATCCCCAGTCCTTTTTGAGACAGGGTCTCGTTAAATTGCTGAGGCAGGCCTTGAACTTGTGATCCTCCTGCCACAGCTTCCCGAGTTGCTGGGGTTACAGGCATGTGCCACCTTACCTGGCTATAAGTCATCTTTTAACAATATCTATTGAGTTAAAACAAGCAAACAATACTTATTGTACTGTTCTAATCATAAATGATGGAGGTGAACAAAAAGGCAAAAACTCTGGTCCTCATGGGGTATATTTGTTCTAGTGGGAACGGGCACTATATCAGAAAAAGAAGGAAAGTGTACTATATGTGAAGTGGTGGTATTAAAGAGGAATTTAAAGCAAGAAAGGAGAATAGAGAATGTGAGTGGAGATGGGGTTACAAAAGTGATCACATCTGACTTAAATGTTTTAAGAGGATCATTCTGGTTGCTGTGTTGAGAACAGACCATACAGAGACAAGGGCAAAACCAGACCATCCAGGAGGCCATTTCTATAATTCAGGAGGGATGATGATAGATACGATGGTAGCAATGAAAGTAAAGAGGACAAGTAGTTGGATTCTGGATCTATTTTGAAGGTAGAATCAAAAGGATTTGTTAATGATTAAATGTGATGTGTGAGAGAGGAGTTAAGGGTACTCACTTGGTTTTTGGCCTGAGAGACTCCAAGAATGAAGCTGCTATTGACTAGCATGGATGGGGAAAACTGGAGGAAACATAGGTTTGGGGGCATATTAGGAGCTCAGTTTTGGAATGTTAATTTTAAAATACTCATTGGACACCCAGATGGAGTTTTAAATTGGATCTATAATCTATACAAGTCTGGATTTCAGGGGAGAAGTTTATTTATTTATTGGTACTGGGGTGCTTAACCAATGCCCTTTTTTATATTTAATTTAGAGAAAGGGTCTTGTTGAGTTGCTTAGGGCCTTGCTAAATTGCTGAGGCTGGCTTTGAACTTGCAATCCTCCTGCCTCAGCCTCCCAAGCTGCTGGGATTACAGGTGTGGGCCACCATGCCCGGCCTCAGAGGAGAAGTTTAAACTGGAGATAAATTGGAAATTGAGAGTATTATCTTATGGAGAGGGACTGGCTCTTACCCATGGGATTGGATGAGGTCACCAAGGCTGCAAGTGTAGATGCAAAAGGAAATGGTCCAAGAATTGAGCTCAGAAGCTCCAGTGTTTTTGAAAATGGAAAGATGAGAAAGAAGCAGTAAAGGAGACCGGAACATGAAGCTAGAGAGGCAGGAAGAAACCTGGGAAAGTGTGATTCCTGGAAGCAAAGTGAAGAAGGGTTTCAAGGATCTGCTGTGGGAATGCTGCCGAGGGGTCAAGTAAGTCAAGCCTAAAAATTGACCTATCCAGGTCATTAATACTATATAGGTCATTAGTGACTTGATAGAAGCAGTTTTTCATGCAGCAGTGGGTAAAAGCCTGCAGAGAGGATTCGAGGTGGGAATTGAAGACAGTCTGTCTTGCTGACTAGGTAAGGAAAAAAAAAAAAAACAGTGTGCTATTAGGAGGGACAGTGTGGTCAAGGGACAGTTTTTAAACAAGAAGAAATAATAGCATGTTGGTATGTCAATGGGAATGGTTCAGTAGTGAGAGAAAAATTGATGATGCAGGAGAGATGGCAGTGTTGCTGGATTGATGGCTTGTGTAGGCGAATGGGGGTGGGATCCAGAACCCAACTGGAAAGGCTGTGCTTGGCCAGGATCACAGACAATTTACCCATAGCAACAGGGGAGAAGGCAGGGACACAGAAGCAGGCAGGTGGGTGGGTATAGAGTGGGAGCTTGTGGAAGTTCTGTGTATATTTTAATATGTATTAGGTAAAATATCCATATCAAACTTGTCATTTCATGGTTGCTTTTCCAAAGTAGAGAAAAAATATTAAATAGTAGGAGTACTATGCAGATAAGACAAATGTTATACATGAATGACTGGATTTGGGACAAAGATATTATAGGCAGTGTTAGGTCTATGTGTGAGACTGGAGGCAGTGAGAGGATCTGGGAGGTTGTTACGTTTTTCTGGGCAAGAGATGGAGGCCTAGGCTGGAAGTGGCTGTGGAGGTGGAGGGAGAGAGAGAAAACAGACATGAATGGAATTCAGGATGTAGCATTGCTCGGACTTGGTGACTTAGCCATAGGGAACAAGGAAGACTCTTTTCTGATGTGGCAGTGAGGGGATGGAATTCCCAGATACAAAGGGACATCTGTAAGGAAGTGGAGCAGGTATAGGATAGAGATATTATTTTTTGATGCAGAAACAAGAGAAAGTTCTGAGGCACACTTAGCTTCCAAGCCTGCACCAAGAACCAGGACCTACTGGGTGTGCAGAGGAGAGTTGATGACATCCAGTGTGATGGGATAAGGCAGGCCTTGCTTCAAGAGAGCTCCTGTTCTGGGGTGATAAAAAAAACATTCAGATAGTGCTAGAGGAAGGCTGATTCTGTGGATGTTGAATGCTTCCTGGAGAAAATGACCTTGAAAATTGGTTGGTGGCAGATGGAGAGAACACAGCCTGTGCTGGGGAATCAGTAGAGAACATGTAGGGTGTGCAGCTGAGGGTGGAAGGCTGGTGCCTGGAATGTTGATTGTGGGCTGAAGCTTTGGTTTAAGCTGGAAGGTGGATAGAGGAATGTGGTGGTAAAGCTCTAAGGTTCATCTGGAACTGGATGTAGGAGAGGTCTGGGCTGGGATTGTTGGGAGTAGGTTTGGTTTTGGACAGAGCTTCCAACTCCTACAGCTGCCATCCTCTGCAATCCCCACAGGCAACAGGACCTGTACCGAATTCTGAAGGCCTACACCATCTACCGGCCTGACGAGGGCTACTGCCAGGCCCAGGCCCCAGTGGCTGCAGTGCTGCTCATGCACATGCCTGCTGAGGTCAGCACAGTGGTCCTGGTTGGGTGGTGGGAGGATCTTGGCCTATAGTGGTGATGGGGGAGCTGCCTACTCCATGCCTCTTAGGCCCCACTCCTCCCTCCTTATTTTTGCCCTTCTCAGCAAGCATTTTGGTGCCTGGTGCAGATCTGTGACAAGTATCTTCCTGGTTACTACAGTGCAGGGCTGGTGAGTTTCTGGAGGCTGGGTGCATCAGGGCTGTCACTTTTCCTTAAGGCTGCAGGGAGCTCCTTGCCCTTCCATACCCTGGCCCTTTTATCCCTTTCCTCTGGGCCTCTTACCACTGAGGTGAGGATCCCCTGTCAGGGTTGATTCTACTTCAAGGGTGCCATAGCAGGCTGGACTTCTTCTCATGGCTCTTCCCACCTCTAGGAGGCCATTCAGCTGGATGGAGAAATCTTTTTTGCACTCTTGCGCCGGGCTTCCCCACTGGCACATCGGCACCTACGGCGACAGCGCATTGACCCCGTGCTCTACATGACAGAATGGTTCATGTGCATCTTTGCCCGCACCCTGCCTTGGGCTTCAGTGCTTCGCGTCTGGGACATGTTTTTCTGCGAAGGTACTTCCATGGCCATCCAAGCTTATGAGGGAACTGGGGTTTGCATGGTGGCTACCAGATGGTCCTGTTACATTTCTGGCAGGCCATGGACAAAAGGAACTTGTTGCCCCAGCCTGGAAAAACAGGCCTGGTCTTGGTTAAGTTACCAACCTAGAGCCTGCTCTCCCTCCCAGGAATATAATACCTATTGCAACTCATTTCCCTTCTTGGAACCTCAATTTCCTCATCTATAAGGTTGACAGTAGACAGAGATAGGGTCTGTAAGTCCCTCATAATTGAGACAGGCTGAGATCCCAGGCCTGGTCCCCCCATGTTCTCCTCTCTGATCTTGCAGGTGTTAAGATCATCTTCCGGGTGGCCCTGGTCTTGCTGCGACACACACTAGGCTCAGTGGAGAAGCTGCGTTCTTGCCAAGGCATGTATGAAACCATGGAGCAACTGCGCAACCTGCCCCAACAGTGCATGCAAGAGGACTTCTTGGTACACGAGGTAGGAATTGAGCCTCAGCACACCCCTACCTGCTTGAGCACATTCCCATGATCTTCATTATGGTACCCATTTCCTCTTTGTTTAGGTAACCAACCTCCCAGTGACAGAAGCACTAATTGAGCGAGAAAATGCAGCCCAGCTGAAGAAGTGGAGGGAAACCCGAGGAGAGCTACAATATCGGCCTTCACGGAGACTACATGGCTCCCGGGCCATCCATGAAGAGCGAAGGCGGCAACAGCCACCCTTGGGCCCCTCCTCCAGCCTACTCAGTCTCCCCGGCCTCAAGAGCCGAGGCTCCCGGGCAGCTGGAGGGGCCCCCTCCCCACCCCCTCCTGCCCGCAGGGCCAGTGCTGGGCCTGCCCCAGGGCCAGTTGTCACTGCCGAGGGACTGCATCCATCCCTTCCCTCACCTACTGGCAACAGCACCCCTCTGGGTCCCAGCAAGGAAACCAGGCGGCAGGAGAAGGAGCGGCAGAAACAGGAGAAAGAGCGTGAGAAGGAGCGGCAGAGACAGGAGAAAGAGCGGGAGAAGCAGGAGAAGGAGCGGCAGAAGTGGGAAAAAGAGCAGGAGAAAGAACAGCAGAAGCAGGAGAAGGAGAGGCAGAAACAGGAGAAGGAGCAACAGAAACAGGAGAAGGAAAGGCAGAAGCAAGAGAAGAAGGGCCAAGGCCGGAAGATTTCACTGCGTCGAAAGGCAGATGGGCCCCCAGCACCCCAGGATGGTGGGGACAGGTCCTCAGCAGCTGAAGCCCGGCAGGATGCTTACTTCTGACCTCTGCCTGGGGCTGGACTGCATGGCCCCTCTCTTTTCCCCTCAGCCAAGAGAAGGCCTGGCCTGGGGTGCTCCCCAAGCCCCACAGCAGGTGTCCCTCTTTATGAGGAAAGTGGCTTGACTTCCCATCTCCTTGCCAGCTGCTGATCCCTACACAGCCAGGACAGCCACAGTGCATGGGGCAGCTGTGACCAAGTCTGGAGACTCTTGCCTCCAGTTAGACCCAGCTGGGGTCTCTGTCACTCCTGCCAGTTCCCTCTGAGGTCCCCTCCCAGGTGCTGTCCTGATTGGCCTCTAGTCACCACAGGGTGATTCTTGGCAATAGCAGTTGGCAGTCTGCAGATTCTTACACTCCAGTGGCTCCCTTTACTCATGAGGTGGAGCTGGGTTCCTTTTCCCTTCTTTGGCCCTGCCTGTCTCCCCCACTTCCTTTCTGGGGGCCAAGACTCTCCTCATTCTACTTCTGAACATCTCTGTGTTGTAATTATGTACAGAGGACCGGGTTGGCCCAGGATGGGGGTGCTCGCTCTGTCTTTTGTCTTTCAGTTCTCCTGCACTCCAATTTATTTAAGGGGACATGCACTGAAATAGGAAATGTCCCCCACTTCCCCTCCCACGCTCATCCTGCTCTCCTCCCTTACCCACCTTGCTTTATATTCTCAGGCCTCTGCTTTGTCTTACCAGGATCCCCCTCCTTCATCTTGTTCCCTTCCAACCCTCAAGCTCTTGAGTAAGGGGTCTTCCCTTGAGCTCCAAGGGGTGGAATCCAATGTTTACATTCTCTTCTGTCTCATCTCCCATCCCGTGCGACGCTTTGAGGAACCGGAAAAAGAACCTGCTGTTGTACCTGGGCCTGTGTCCCGCCTTGTTATTTGATGAAGGGGTTTGGGAGATAAGAATTAGGGAGGAAGGAGAGAGCCAGGACCTGGGTCTCTACTGAAGCAGTCTGCTGACCTTTGGTCCATCAGTCACTGATCAACAAACACTGGTTAAGCTCCTGCTCCAGATTTGCTTGGGCTCTACTGCCTCCTTTGTCACTGGCCTGGAGCCCTCTATGCACTGCCTTCAGCATCCGTATCTCCTTCCCAAAGCGCTCGTGCAATTCCTGGAAGCAGGAGGGGGCACTGAGAGTAGCTACAAAGTCACAGTTCTTTAGGGGTGAGTTGGGTTTTTGGCCAGCTGCCTGGCACAGCTCCCGATACTGGGCTTCCAGCAGGGATAGCAGCCCATCCAGTCGCCTCCAGCTCACCCCAGCCAGGGCACAGAGCCAAGCCTCCAGCTCTTCCTGGTTTTCTGCTGCTAGCTTGTAGGCCCGCCCACATGCACTCTGTATCCCTGGGGTGAGTATGGTAAAGGCATAGGGTTCAGTGGCCTTAAGGCATGGCTCCACTTGGCAGTTCTCCAACAGGATGAGGCCCAGTGGTGTGTGGTCTGCCTGGTGTTCCAGGTAGAAAAGGAGGTTTCCCCGGAGGATAAACCAGCGGCGCTGGTAGCTGGTGTTTCGGGCTCCTTTCTTTAGCAAGATGCCCTCCTGGTCTGGTGCCTGTGTTCTGAACTCATGGAAGAAACTGAGCACAGATTTTCGGTGTAGTTTCATGGTGATCCAATACGGAGAAAACCCTGGGGAGAGAGGAGTGGTCCACCTGGTTTGCCTGGAAGGAGCCTCATGCTGCTTTCTAGTTGCAGAAGGCTCTGCCTGGACAATCTAGGTCTAGGGAGATTGAGGCTCCGTCCTCAATAGCAACAGGTGTAGTCCTGACAAGATCCCTCCCACCTCTTCTTGGGGCCAGATTCCAATCACCTGGGCAGATGTGACCGGGCCTTGTTAGCTAAGGGGTGGGATGAGCTTCTTCCTGCAGCTGTAGTTACTGGGAATTGAACCCAAGGCACTCTATCATGGAGCTACATCCCCACTTAATTTTTTTTTGAGACAAGGTCTCGCTAATTTGCCCAGGCTGGTCTTCAACTTGTAATCCTGCCTCAGCCTCCAGCGTCGCTGGAATTACAGGCTTGCTGTTAGCAACTGTTGTCCTTTTCTAGGCCTACCTGAGAGGAGAGCAACGGGGACTTCTGTCCAGGGACGGGGCACCGGTGCCAATGCCACCTCTCCTATGATGGCTCTCTCACCTAAGAAACCAGGAACTGGCCCAAGGAATAGGGGTGGGGCAAAAGACTTCCCCTGGGTCCTAGAGGGAGCTAGGTTCATAAAGTACCCCAAAGGTCATTAAAGCCCCGCAGGTGGGCCATTAGGTGAGCAGGGCTTCCGCTGGGACAAAAGCAAGGCCGCGGCTTTCAGACTATGAGAAGACTGACAGCTGGACATTAGGAGTGGGAAGCCAGAGTGTCTAATGAAATGGTGAGGGGCGCAGAGTCCTGGGGGAAGGGCGACTCGAACTGTGCCTGCAAAAATTTAAACTTGAGCAGGAACTCACTGTCCCTGCTCTGACTCTTGTCCCTCCATCCAGACCCTAGGCGCCCCTGTAAGTAGAATGCGCTCTACGTTCTCTCCAGAGCCTCTCCTGTTGTATGAGGGAACCAAAGTCTCTTCCGGTCGTCCCTCGTGCCGGGTCGCGGTTTAGGCGTTCTTATATCCACTGTTCTGGTCTTTACAGCCACGCGGATTACGTCACTTCTGGCGGGGAAGACAGCTAGGGTGTCTTCCCTCGCTCACCGTGCACTTCCGCCCGCTCTTGCAGTTAATCCACTGACTGGAGTGAAGCCACTTCCGGCCTCCTCTGGCGCCTTCCGCAGTCCTCTTCCGGGTGATAGAGGCCGATACCCCGGATGTATCCCTGGCCAAAGCATCTTTCCTTTTTTTCCCTTTTTCTCCTGGATTCCCAGGTGAGCGCGAACGGGTGAGACTGCCTGAATACCTATGGCTCTGCTGGCCGACTAGTTTTTGGTGGGGGAGTCGCCGCGTGGAATTAGGAGTTCAACGAGAGGAGGAACGGGGCGACTAGGGCGTCAGGTCCTGGGCCCGCCCGGGCTCTGTGGACGCTGCGGGTGTGGGGACCGGGTGTCACCAGACAGTCGAGCCCGGTCGCGCTAGACTGATATGGGG